CTGTATAGGGTTTTTTGTTTTTTTTTTTCCAGACAGATTGGTTTTATTCATGGACACCTGGGGGCATGGAGGAGGGCACGCCAGGGTTCGCCAGCCTGAAACACGCTCACACTAGGGGATAGGGGGAACTCTTCATGCCACAATCATAACAAACAGTGCCCACACTCGGACCGGGCCAGCTTGGGGAAGGAGGCATGGCACAGCCTGGCTCCTGGTTTTGGTTTAAAAAAAGTCTTGGGGTCGATGTGGAAGTGGGCTAGAGGGTTCTGGGGCTTCCTGGGAGCCTCTTGGAGAGTCTCAGTTGGGGATAGGGGAGCCTTTGCTTCTCAGTCTTTTAAAAACATAGAACATGCTCATCTGTGCAGAACATTGGACAGGAAAGGGCAGGTAGGGGACAACACTGATGGGACGAGGCCGCAGCCCTGGCCTGTCTTCACTCCAGGGATAGACGCCGGCAGGTAGGACAGACTGACTGGTAGATACGAACACTGGCTCTGAGGGGGCACCTTGGAGTGGAAGGTCGTGTGTTTGGGGGGAAGAGGCAGAAGGACAGCCCTGGCTCTGGGGGCGTGGAGCAGGGAACAGGATAGGATTGTACTGCTGGTGGGAGGCAGTCCTGAGCCTTTTGCCTCTGGCTCATAGTCCTGAGACTCCTCCTGGGGTGGTTCCTCATAGCTTTCACCTTCTGGCTCCATCAAGGGCTCCATCAGCGACTCCTCAGCAGCTTCCTGGGTCACTTCCTCTGACTTAATATCAGTGGGAAATTCCTCGTCCTTTCACCAGGCCTGTGGCCGCTGCAATGTTCCCAACCCCAGAGAACACGGCTGCTCCCAGATGTGACACCTGCTCCTTGGTTTTCTCAGCCACCGAGGCAACACCTTGTACCACCCCCCTCTCTTGCTTCCCATGTAGAGGATACTCTCCTTGGTTTTCTCCACAGCTGCTATGTGTCTTCCTTGGCCATGGACAGGCCCTTGATGAACATGTCCATCTTGACAGCCTGGATGCATGGCCCAGGCTGGGGATGGAGCTGAGGCTTGGCAGGTGGATGCAAGGGCTCAGCTAGGCCAGGCTGTGTAGGCTTGCAGCTGAGGGGAGATCATGTTCTGCCCTGAAGCTCAGCCCAGTCAGTAGGCAGCAGGCAGGGCTCAGACGCTAAGCCACAGGCTCTAAGCTGCGGTGCAGCAATGCCCTGACCTTGGGTGCATTGCCAGCCTCTGCACCCTACTCTTGCCCTGATTGCTTGCTGGCTCACTCCGGCTCCGGCTCCGGCTCCAGCTCCGGTTTTGGCTCTGGCTTACTCCAGCTCTGGCTCCGGCTCTGGCTCACTCTAGCTCCAGCTCCGGCTTGGCTCTGGCTCACTCCAGCTCTGGCTCCGGCTCTGGCTCACTCTAGCTCCAGCTCCAGCTCCAGCTCTGGCTCACTCTAGCTCCAGCTCCAGCTCCGGCTCGGTTCTGGCTCACTCCGGCTCCGGCTCTGGCTCTGGCTTCAGCTCTTGCTTGCATGCTGCGGCAGCTGTCCTCTATAGGGTTTTTGAGGAGCAGCTGGTGGGCTTGAATCACTGACCTGTGGTTAGTGACTCAGTGTTTATCCTACAGTTCCATACTAGGACCGCATTAGAACAAGTTGCTGTTGTTAAGTGCCACCAAGTTGGTTTTGACCCATAGCGCGGTTGGTGAACTTGAACCACCATCCTAGCAGTTCAAATGACTTTGCAGTCTAGCACATTAACCTACAGTGCCATACCAGGACTCCATTTGAGTTTATTTTGGTGCAAAACGTTTTTGAAATTTTTCCGTAGTTTTTTCATAATATGCGTTTTCCAGGAACTTTTTGAAGACCCCTAATACATGTATGTGCTCCCAAATTGCTGTGCGTTTCTCATGTCAAGCATTTTTTATATGGTTTTGTAATTGCTGATTTTCTTCTGTTTCCCTCTTTGAGAGACAATGTACCTGTTATTCATTGTTGGACTCTTAAGTGTCTTTTATTGTCCCTGACATTTTATCAGTGCTTGTCAACTGAAAAAGTATATAATAACTTCACATCACAAAGAACCTACTTATGTTCTTTGTGGAGTTATTAGTTTAAAATAATTTGTTTCTTTTAAGTCTATAAAAATTAAACACATCTTGTCTGATGTATCTTGGCTGAAAGCAGAGAATATCAGAAAGATGTTTCCCTGTGCTTTATTGACTGTGCAAAAACTTTTGATTGTGTGGATCATGACAAGCTATGGACAACATTGCGAAGTATGAATATTCTGGAACACTTAATTGTGCTCGTGAGGAATCTGTACCTGGACCAAGAGGCAGTTGTTTGAACAGAACATGGGAACACTGAATGTTTTAAAATTAAGAAAGGTGTGCTACAAGGTTGTATTCTTTCACCATACGTATTCAACTTGTATGCTGAGCAAATAATCCGAGAAACTGGGTTCTATGAAGAAAAATGTGGCATCAGGATTAGAGGAAGACTCATTAACAACCTGCGATATGCAGATGATACAACCTTGCTTGCTGAAAGTAGAGAGGACTTAAAACATTTACCGATGAAGATCAAAGAGCACAGCTTTCAGTATGGATTGCATCTCAATGTGAAGAAAACAAAAATCCTCACCACTGGACCAATAAACAACATTCTTGTCAATGGAGAAAAGATTGAAGTTGTCAAGGGCTTCATTCTTCTTGAATCAACTATCAACACTCACGGAAGCAGCAGTCAGGAAATCAGATGATGTATTGCATTAGGCAAATCTGCTGCTCAAGACCTTTTTAAAGTGTTGAAGAGCAAAGATGTCAGCTTGAGGACTAAGGTGCACCTGACCCAAGCCATGGTATTTTCAGTAAATGCATATGCATACAAAAGCTGAACAGTGAATAAGGAAGACCATAGAGGAAATGATGCTTTTGAGTTATGGTGTTGGAGGAAAATAAGGTAAGTGCCATGGGCTGCCAAAAGAACCAATAGATCTGTTTTGGAAGAAGTGCAGCCAGAGAGTGCTCCTTGGAGGCCAAGATGACCAAACTTCGTCTCTCATACTTCAGACATATTGTCAGGAGGGACCACCTGCTGGAGAAGGATATCACGTTTGGTAAGGTGGAGGGTCAGAAAAAAAGAGGAAGACCACCAATGAGATGGATTGTCCAAGTGGCAGCATAAGTGGACTCAAGTAGTGGCAACAGTAATGAGGTTGGCCCAGGACCGGGCAGTGTTTCGTTCTGCTGTGCATAGGGTCACTGTGAGTCGTTACCAACTCAATGGCACCTAACAATGACAATTTAGTGTTAAATATGTTTGTTTGACAGAATCTTTCTCTGAAGGAGTTTAAATATTCATGGTTTAGTGTTTTGAAGACAGTAAAATGGAGGAGTGTGGTAGACGATAAGGTGATTGGGGAGAGGACTTGCTATATATATATAGGGTGATTGGGGAGAGGACTTGCTATATATATTCTTTTTTTTTTTTCTTTTAAATGCTTTTTTGTGAAATATGTGATAGTTTACATGGGAGAACTTTAGCTTTACATTCATCCTAACATATATCGTTTCATTGCCATGGTTACAATCCCCTCCATGCATCATCAACCAACCAAAGGGTATACCCTGCAAACCTGCCCCTGGTCGTCAGCACACAGCCCCTCTCCCTCTCCTTGTCTAAAGTCCCCAGCCGCTCCATCTCTCCACACCATCATCTCTGCCTCCATTTCAGGCATCACTGCTTTTCTGGGTAGGGTCCCGCTCTCCGCTCTTCTCCCTTGATGGTCCCAGGGACCTCTGTTCCTAGACTGAAAAGTTAGTCACTCCCCTCCTTTTGCTACAAAACATCTACCTTTATATTTCCAACCCTCACAATAACAATTATTCACTATTGTATCACAGGAGACCTATCGGAATCTCCTTTCATCAGCCCCACCCTCTTGAAAGCTTATAAACCAGTCACTTCTTGCCTTTGTAGCACCCCCCCTCCCCCCCCATTTTGGGTAGCCAATGTCCACAAGTTGCCCATCCCTGTCTACTCTTGTGTTTGGAGGGGGTGGGAATGATCCTCGCAGTAAAGATTGGTTCCCTCTTGTGAGCTACTGCATCCATAGGTGTAGGTCAAGTTCATCAAATTGTATCAGATTACTCTTTTCTTCCTCTTCTTTCTTCTTCTACTTTAGCTCTGATCATCCAGTCATTGAAGCCAGGTCAAGTGGGTACTATCTGCATGTGTGGGTGTTCTTGTGCAAATGACCTCTCTTCTTATCAGCTGGGTGCTTCGCTCTCCACTCTAGTCCTCTGTGGCTCTGTCACTGACTCTGGGCTCAAGAGTCCCCAGGTCTTGCTGCACTGCTGGCCAACCAGGTCTCCACCTAGGTTCACAGGAGTCTATTGAATGTTGTAGGGCTCACAGATTCATTACTGTTTTTGAGGGCTTGCTATTATCAGGGAAAACTTCTGCAAAGAGGTGACATTTGAGCTGGCACCCAACTAGGAGAAGTACCAACCACTCACTCAGTCAGAAAGAAGGTAAGTTGGCCTGAAACAGAGTGAATATAGAGAGTGTACAGGCTGAGCTCGTTTTTATGGTGGGGTTAGCTGCCACAGAGTCAGCCCCCGACTCATGAGAGATTGGTTCACTGTGATCCAGGTGGGTTTTTTTTTTTGGGGGGGCTGATTTTTGGAAGCAGATTACCAGGCCTAGTCTGTCTTAGTCTAGAAGTGCGACTGAAACCTGTTCAACATCACAGACCCAGCTCTGTGTGAAGAACAGTTAGTTTCATGGTCAGATTTTATACCAACACTAGTCAGTTGTATACCAAATAAGTACTTTTGCTTATAGACAGCACTTGGTGAAAATAATGAACAGATGGCTTATTTGAGGGTCCTGGAAACACTGAAAAGACATTTCAAATAGATGGTCTCTAGGATTATTTTTGGATCACATGAAGGAAAAATTGGAACTAAAACTATAAAAAGCACTTGTAAATAAATGTATCTCTGGTGCTTTTCTTTTAGATTTTGAAGATGATGACCTCTATGGGCAGTCTGTAGAAGATGATTACTGCATCTCTCCATCAACAGGTGGGTTGTTCTCAAGGAATTGATTTCATAAATTTGGTATTTGAAATGTCAAGTACATATTAATGTTATTCTAGGGTGTTTCATAAAAGCATTAGAGTGTTCCATGAGACTATAATAGTATGCTACATTAAAAAGATAATTATCTTTTAACTTCCAAAGATACATAGAATATTTCCTTTGTTGTTGTTAAGTGCCATTGAGTTGGTTCCCACTGACAGCGACCCTGTATAGGGTTTCCGAGGAGCAGCTGGTGAGTTTGCTTGGTTTGGTTGACTTTGGTTCAAATGACCTTGCAGTCTAGCTCATTAACCCACAGTGCCACACCAGACGCCATTGATTCTGTTCTTGTTCTTCGAATTAGAAGATAACTCTGTAGACTGGTTTTCTCAGCAGTCTTGAAAACATATGTTGAAATGTTAACTTAGTAATGAGATTCAGAAACTTTTAGGGGCAGGTTGTGAATGGTGTGACACTGTGGGATAAGCACTGGACTGCAAAACAGCAAGGGCAGCAGTTCACACTTACCAGTCGCTCCTTGGAAACCCCATATAAGGTCGCTGTGAGTTGGAATTGACTTGATGGCACTTAACAACAGGGTTGTTGTTGTTAAGTGCTGTCGAGTCGATTCTGACCCATAGCAACCCTGTATAGAGTTTCCGAGGAGCAGCTGGTGAGCTTGAACTGCAAGGTCAAGCTTTGCAGTCTAGCGCATTAACCCCAGCGCCACAGCGGGACTCCTAATAATACAGGGTAGAATACAGTATCTGGCACGTGGTAGGCCCTCAGACATTTTGTGGGATTGCCTTTTTGTTTTCTTTTGAGCAGTTGAAGGATTGTGTGTATTTTATCTGGGTGCTGCCTTTTCTTTACTACTTTTCTCTACTACTTGGATTCTTCCTGGGAACTCAGGCAGAATTCTGGGTTCACATTCTGTTGCAGTTGCTTTCTCTTCCTTTCCTACTCAAGATTATCGGCTATTATTTGTATTGAAAGTGTGCATCGGATCTCTGGGTTAGATATTCAGGTGTAATGTGCAGACTTCCTTTCATATTGAACTTTTAGTTTATGTACTGTTAAACAGTTTGGTAATTAAAACAATGACGTGTGCATGTAGTTCAGACTTTTGGAGCTAACAAGTGAGGCAGAGTTCAGATTATTTGTGATTTCACATTAGAACTGTGTCTTCTGTTTTACCCGCTGAAAGATTTCTTCTCCACCACTATATATATGTTCTTTCCAGCCAAGACTTTGATCTGGATCTTTCTAGTTTCCTTAACAATACACCTGTCTTCAAATTTCAGCCAAATATATACATGCTGTTGGTAAGTGTCGTCGAGTCAGTTCCAACTCATAGCGACCCTATATAGGGTTTCTGAGGAGCAGCTGAACTGGTTAAAATATCCCACTACATTTTACTATACCTTGAAGGTACAACTTACATATATAGTGGTGGGGGGGAGGACCTTCAAAAAGTTCATGGAAAAATTCCATTATCTATAAGCTGCATTTCACTGTGAAGTTTTTGAAGCCCTTTAACCTGGTGAGGTACTGTAGGATAAGCACCGGACCTCAAGAACAGTTTGAACTGCTAGGTTGGTTTGGACAGTAAGATTGGCAGTTTAAACTCACCAGTTGCTCCTCGGAAACCCTATACAGAGTTTCTATGAGTTTGAACCAACTTGATGGCACTTAACCACAACAATACCATTAGGTATAGTGTAAATACAATTCATAGAACTTACTTTCCACATATTTAAAGATTTAATTAAGCCCTGGTAGTGTAGTGGTTTACTCATGAGCTGCTAACTGCAAGGTCAGGAGTTCAAATCCACCAGCTGCTCCATAGGAGAAAGATGAAGCTTTCTGCTTCCATAAAGATGGTCAGCCTCAGAAACCCTATAGAGGGCTACTGTGAGTCAGAACCTACTCAACTGCACATCGCCACTACCACCAAAGGTTTAATTAACACTTCCTTCAAAACCCTTGTCTGCTGTTCTCTAAACTGTTCCTACCTTAAACTGTGCCTGTATAATCCCACTTTTAATCTCTAAGGACCCAAAGATTCTGCCTAGAATTCTGTTCTGTTAACTTGTCATTCTACAGTGTGTCTAGCTCTTTATTTGTATGCCTACTCTTCCAGGTCAAGTTCTTCCTCATCCAACCTGACTCTTAGCCTGATCTTCCATTCTTCCTTTCCCTTTTCACTGCTGTCATTGAGAAGCCTGTCAGGAGAAAGAAAGTGTACCAGTTTACCAGATAGAATTTCCTGTAAAATGTTAACTAATTTAGAAACCAACAACAACAACAAGGCGTAAAGGCACAACCCACGTATCAAGGAGGAAATAACTGCAGGAAGCATCTGCTGTCCCTAGAGCTGGGGGAGCAAACTGAAGAGGCTGGACTAACCATTTCGAAGTTGTGGGACTCCTTGGAGCTGGGCTTTAGACCCCTGAGGACAGCTTTGCTTTCCTGCTTTGTCTCAGGAAGGGGTTGCTTCATGACCTCCCCTGGTGCCTTTGGGGAAACCTGGTGGGGCTGGGATGCAGGTTTTCAAAGGAATTTTGGCTTGCTGCCTTGGGGTAGAGACATACTGAGGCTGCTTTTGTGAGTTTGAGAAAAACTGCAAACTGATATTGATTGCTGCTACTAGAACAAACAGCTTCTGCAGGTGAACATGTTGTGGAAGTGATGTTGACAGAAAAGAAACACAGGAAGGAACATGTCCCTTCCTATTCCATTCACCCTATTGGCTGATCCTAAGAGGGAGTCCTAGTGTGGCGCTGTGGGCTAATGCGCTGGATTACAAAGTTGTTTGAACCACAAAGTTGGTGGTTCAAGCTCACCAGCCGCTCCTTGCAAACTCTACACAGGGTCCTGTGGGTTGGAATTGACTTAATGGCACTTAACAACTACAAACATGAGTTAGATGAGTCCTGGCGTAGGATAAACACTGGACTGCTGACGGCAAAGTCAGTGGTTCAAACTCAGTAGCCACTCCTTGGAAACCCTGTAAGTTAGAACTGATTCAATGACACTTAACAAAAGCCGTGGTAGAGTGTTTCTGGGTATTGCAAACAGTTAATTGCTCAACTGCTAAGTGAAAGATTGCAGCTTTGAATCAACTTAGAGGAACCTCAATAAAGCCTTATAAAAAAATCAGCCATTCAAAATCCTGTTGGGAGTGGAGAGGGAGAGGTACAGCTCTATTTAATACACATGAGGTCAGAATGGACGGATGGCAACTGATTCCTAGTTGCCTAGTGATAGGAATCAGCTGGAGGTAATTATTCAAATTACAAATTCCTGGTCCAATTGTTATCACCTCTGAATTAATGTCTCTAGGGGAAGATGCCTGGGAAGCAATGTCTTTAATTAATGTCTCATGAGAAGCAAATTAAGGCAGTTTCATGAGTCAGGTTTTGAATTCTTTGTGTGTGTTTGTTTGTCAAAACTCTTAAGTCTTAAAAATCAGGATGAGTGTCATCTGTTGTTGTTTTTTTAATCCAGAAATCATTCCATCACAATTTGTGATTTAAATTTTTAGGAAAGAAAAACATTTTATAATTTTTATGTTTTTGTCATTTCTTCTTTCAGTCCATTTTATTGTATTTGTTGCCTTTTGGGGCTCTTATTTAAATTTCAAAGGTTTGGATCTTTTTTCCTCTTTGGTTTTTTCTCCTGAGTGAGTTTTCATATCCTTCTTCCATCTTTGCCAAATGCAATCATTACTGTTGCTGTTGGCGCCATGGAGTCGGCTGTGAGCCATAGCGCTCTTTGTGCACAGCACAAGCATTGCCCGTCTCTGCCCCGTCTTCACAGCTGGCATGTTTGAGCCCACTGTTGCAGTCACTGTGTCAGTTTCCTTGAGGGTCGTCTTCTTTTTTGCTGACCTTCCACTTTGGTTAATATAATGTCCTTCTCCAGGGACTGGTCCCTCCTGATAACATGCCTAAAGTATTGTGAGATGAAGCCTTGCCATCCTTGTATCTAAGAAGCACTGTTACTTCTTTCAAAACAGATAAGTTCATTCTCTGGCAGTTCATGGTCCTTTCAACTGTTGTTATTAGGTGGCCTCCAGTTGATTCTGACCCATAGAACCCATGTGTGGGGTCTCTGTAAATCTTTACAGGTGAAGCAAGCCTTACCTTTCTCCCAATGAGTGGCTGGTGGGTTTGAACTGCCTTGTTGTTGTTAGGTGCCATCGAGTTGGCATCGACCCATAGCGACCCTGTGCACAGCAGAAAAAAACACTGCCCGATCCTGGGCCAGCCTCACAATTGTTGCCACGCTTGAACCCATTGATGCTGCCACTTGGTCAGTCCATTTTGTTGGGGATCTTCCTCTTTTTCTGTGAACCGCCACCTTACCAAACATGATCTGCCTACCTGTAGTTAATGATCCAGTGCTTATCCTACAGCGCCACCAGGGCTATCTTTCTACCATTGGTTGTTTTTAAGTACCGTTGAGTTGGTTCTGACCCATAGTGACCCTGTAAAGGGTTTTTGACGAGTGACTGGTGAGCTTGAACCACCAACCCTCTGGTTCAAACCAACTTTGCAGCCCAGCACATTACCCCAGTGCCACACCAGGACTCCACATGCTACCGTTACTACTCCCAAAGTTGTAATGACAGTATGGATTTTTGGGTTGGTGTGTGTGTATGTGGAAGGGAGGAGAATGGAATAGTAGGCAAATGCCCCCCAGAAAGAAGTATCTTCAGAAGGTAGAGTAGATGCTTGTACATTGATTATGTCCTCTTCCTGGTCAGTATTTCCTCAGTGAAACTTGTTGAGGGAAATAGCTGACCTCTTGCCTCACTTCACCTTTCATTATGTTTCTTCCTCACTATTTAGAGCTCTGGAAGGAAGGTGGGAAAAGTATATTTGTTACTGCTGCTTAATAGGCTGAATCAAGTACAGGAAAGTTATTATTTAAATCAACAGACACAAAAGGTATAGTTTACACTTTTTAGTACTACCACAGTTTATGAAATCGAAAGT